CCCGTTGCCTCCAGTATATGGGGCCAGCGCCCTACTCCTTTGGGCCACAGGCGCTGCCCTTTTTTTTTTTTTTTTTTTTGAGACAGAGTCTCACTAAGTCACCCTGGGTAGAGTGCTGTGACATCACAGTTCACAGCAATCTCAAATTCTTGGGCTTAAGCGATTCTCTTGCCTCAGCCTCCCGAGTAGCTGGGACTATAGGCACCCACCACAATGCCTGGCTATTTTTGTTGTTGTAGTTATTTTTGTTTGGCAGACCCAGGCTGGATTCGAACCTGCTAGCTCCAGTTTTTGTGGTTGGCGCCCTAGCTGCTGAGCTACAGGCGCCAAGCCTAGAGGGATCTTTTAAAAACACAAGATATATGGCTTCATATTCTTGCTTAAAACTCCCTAGTGTCCTCCCATAGTTCTTCTGGTAAAATCCCTGTGGGCCTGGTATATCTGGCTTAGCCTCCATGCTTACTGCTCCTTCCCCATGCCTGCTACACCTGAGCCACCCAGGCCTTGGTTATTTATTTTTTTTCTAACACACCAAACACTCAACACATACCCACTTTAATGTACATTAGGCTGGCTCCTCCTTATCCCTCACTTTTCAGCTTAAAAGTTACATCGTGACAGGCTTTCCTGGATTTCTCCAGCTAAACAGCCCTCCTTCCCCTGCCATTATTCTCTGTTATTTCACTCTTCTCTTTCTTCACAGCACCTGCCACAACTTATAATTATATGCTCCTTTGTTTACTTGTTTATTGTCTCTTGCCTCCAGGAGTCTGTGGACCTCACAAGGGTAGGACGTATCTGTTCCTTTCCCCTAGCACCTAGTATAGGGCCAGTCACAGAGTTGCTGAATGAATGAAGGGATAACTGAGGTAAGGTTGGAAGCCAGGGTCTGTCCACTCAGTTTATGTAGCTGCTTCCTTGCACAGAAGGCTGGGCCCCAACTGGGGCAGGATCCTGTTTCCAGGGAGAGCTGAATACCCGCAACCTCCAGGAAGTGTTCTCAGTCCTGCGTCCTCGGTATCTGCCAGGGGTGGGAATTCAGCCTGCCTGCGTCTCAGCTGGGGGTCCCTGGCTAGAGCAGGGCTGGCGGCGGGAGCGGGTTGTGTGGCAGAGGCAGGGAGGAGAAAGTACAGAAGAGTCCCACCTCCAGGTGGGCAGGGCCAGGTAGGCGGCTCCCAGACTCAGTCCCTTGCTGTCCACAGACCCTGACTCCTTCCTGAAGTCTGCGAGGCTGCAGCGGCTGCCGTCCTCGTCCTCAGAAATGGGCAGCCAGGACGGGTCGCCACTACGAGAGACGCGCAAGGACCCCTTCTCGGCAGCAGCATCCGAGTGCTCCTGCCGCCAGGACGGGCTCACGGTCATCGTCACAGCCTGCCTTACCTTTGCCACCGGCGTCACGGTGGCGCTGGTCATGCAGATCTATTTCGGGGACCCCCAGGTGAGGTGGGCAGACAGATGGGGAGGAGCTGGGGAGGAGGGAGTAAGGGGACCCCGAAAACTGGGGAATGGCTAAATGATGAAAGGGAGCTTGGAAATGGGAAGGGGAGAGAGTCGCGACTTGGGAGAGGAAGGTCCCAAAGGCGAGGACTGAGGGGCATGAAGGGGACAGAGCAAGGAAGGGACTTGTAGAAGGCACTTAGGTAATAAGGGGAAAGTCAAGGAGACAGGAGGCCAGGGCGTCCATCCTCACCCTCTGTGGAGGCCCCAGGGTTAGTGAAGGTGCCTTGAGAGACAGAGGGCTCTTACTTGCCCCCACCTAGTCCCCTCTCCCCTCCAGATCTTCCAGCAGGGCGCCGTGGTGACTGATGCTGCTCGTTGCACTTCATTGGGCATTGAGGTACTCAGTAAACAGGGATCTTCTGTGGACGCAGCTGTGGCAGCAGCCTTGTGTTTGGGGATCGTGGCCCCACACACTTCTGGCCTGGGCGGGTAAGGAGCCCTCAGCAGTGGAGGTCTAGGACCCTTGGGCCTACTTCTTGCCTCCTGGTCTATAGGTATCATGTGAGACTCTCAGTTTGGGCAGAGGGCAGCTGGGCCCCAGCTCCTTGCATTTTCTCTTTCTATACCAAATTTCTACCCCCTTCTCCCTGGATGGAATCAAAAGAGTAAAACTACTATATGGAAGACCTGAAGGTGTTTTCATTAGCCCTTTTTACTAGGAAAGGAAATTTGTAAACTAAAAATAGAGTTGCCCAGTGGATGTATAATGTCAATAAGGCGGTGGTATTTAAACTTTTAGGGTCCCGAATCCCTGTGAGTCTGATGAAAGCTATGGGCTTTCTGTCTTCTACAGATACACCTCAGGCTAAGAACTCATAATACAGAGGCTACAAACTGGCCACCTATGGGCAATATTCACACATAAGCTGGTTTGGGGTTTCTTTGGTATAGTGGTTATCACATTCGCCTAAGACAAATAAATAGGTTTGGTTCACACAACTGAATTTTTTAGAAATTTGCTTGTTCTTTCCAGAAGTGTGTTCTTCTGCAAAAGAGAAAAACAAATTAGAAAAAAAAAATGTGATTGTTATTTTTTTTTGTGTTTTTTTGGCCAGGGCTGGGTTTGAACCCGACACCTCCGGCATATGGGGCCAGCACCCTACCCTTTTGAGCCACAGGTGCCACCCGCTATTGTTAAAAAGTTGAGAGTGTTCACAAAAATCCAGATTTCCAGCATCTCTTGAATAATCAGGAGATCTGGTAATACTGGGCCCACATTCCCATATGGCTAAAATTATCTAGAACTGAATAGAAGCTGGTTCTGACGATGGGGGCACATGCTGTCCACTTTGCCATAGTTCCTACCACTCCCTGTTATCCTTCCTGGTTTCCTTATGTTGTTACTTGGCCGCAGGCATTTCAGTTTGTAACCCCCATCTCAGATGTCCTTTAAAAGGAATAAACTGACAAAGACCCTCTCTTGGCTCCTGAAAGCCGTACCAAAGAAATTTGGGTTTTGTACAGTCTATTCTTACATAATCCGGACTTGGGGGAGTAGGAGGGGACATACAAGTAGGCAGGTGCAGGAAGCTGGCAGGGATCCAGCTGTGGTCTAGGGTGGGGGCAGGAGGTAGAACATCCTGCTTTCCCAGTCTCTGGGTTTTCCCTAATCAGGGATTAAAGTCTCCAGTGACAGGCTAAAAGAGGTTCATGACCCTGGGTCCCTGGCCCCTTTCGTTTCATTCTCTATTCTTTTAAGGTGTCTGAGGTAAAGGGCCTGCAGCCCTCACCCCTTGTGGGTTGAAGGGTGACAGGCTAATTGAGCAGAGGGGTGGCATGTTAGCATCACCCTACCCCTTCTGTGTTTCTCCCAGTGGGGGTGTGATGCTGGTCCATGACATCCGCCGAAACGAGAGCCACCTAATTGATTTCCGGGAATCTGCACCAGGAGCCCTCAGGGAAGAGACACTGCAAAGATCCTGGGAGACCAAGGTGGGGACCCTGGTGAGAAGAGAGAGGACAGGGGACTCTCCCTTCATTGCCCTTCTTCTAAACCAAGCATTAATTTGCTGAGTATTTTACTCTGGGAGTGGGAAAAAGAGTTGAACAGGATGCTCTAAGGCTGTGAAGGAGACAGGTGGTCCGCAAATTAAGTAGTGAATAAAAAAATCTGCATGGTTGATAGCAGGTAATACTGCAGCACCTTACTTCATTGGCAGTCTTACCTATCTGCACACAGGAAGGAAGAAGAATGGCTTCTGAGTACCCTGAGATGTTACAGAGCTGCTGCACTAAAACCACACATCTCACTCTGAGACTCTTAACTGTAACTCTCCCAACCCACTACGTTTTAAGGTTAGAGAGGAATTGCTGGAGGCAAACTCATTGTCTGCTGAGAGCAAAGGAAGGATGGAATAACTTGGAAAAATAGCTAGTTAGAGCAGTTCAGAATAATATAGATTAGATTAATGGTAGATTAGAACGAGTAGATTAAATGAAGGTCCCTTGTCTTGTGATCCAGTGTAGACAGGTTTCTGTTTAAACTGGTTATGTCCTGGCTCTTGAAACTTTTGCTCAATTTATAAATCCCTCATCTGTGATAGATAAGGGAAGCCTTTCTGCATTGGCCGATAGAAGTCAGAGAGATGGGAGGGGTACCTGTTTGGGAAAGCTTGTCCCTCCCCTGGGATACTTGGCCTGTGTCTCTCCCCTGTGCCAGCCATCCCTGGCTTGGGGCTCTGCGGAGTTCAGCCCAGCCCCCCCCTTCCAGTGACCTGGTCTCCTCTCTCCCTCGCCTGCCCGCCTTGCCCAGCCTGGGCTCTTGGTGGGGGTCCCCGGAATGGTGAAGGGGCTACACGAAGCTCACCAGCTCTATGGCAGGTAAAGACCCTAGCCCTGGGGACCAGGGACCCTTGTTTGCATTTCTCCTTGGGTGGCCTTTTCCTACCTTCCTGGATTCTTCCTTTCCCAACTCCCCTTCCTAATATCCCCTTCCCTTGCCAGGACTCTCCTTCCCAGGAACCCCCCTCCCCCCAGGACCCCTCCTCCTCCCCCCAGGACTTCCTCCACCCCCTGCTCTCCGGCCCCCCCAGGCTGCCATGGTCCCAAGTCCTGGCCTTCGCAGCAGCTGTGGCCCAAGATGGCTTCAACGTGACTCATGATCTAGGTCAGTAGGGCTGGGGGATGTGGGGAAAGGCATGAGGTTGATAGAGAGGGATGGAGAGTTGGGGCCCAAGCCAGAGAAGATTTCTTTTCCAGTTGGCTCCTCAGACCCCATCCCTACCTCATCCCACTTTTACCTGGAGTCACACTTAAATGAAGGGGTCTGGCAAGGGCTCATAGGCATCCCTACTTCCCCCATAACAGGCTCCTGAGGGACCAGGGCACGTAGAGAGGGCCATTCAGCCCTCATTCACCCCACCTATTATGCGTCTCAGCCATCTGGTCCAGTCCTAGACCCCCTGCCCAGCCTCCTCTCCCTATCCCCAGCCCGAGCCCTGGCTGACCAGCTGCCTCCCAATGTGTCTGAGCGCTTCCGTGAGATGTTCCTACCATTGGGCCGCCCGCCACTGCCTGGCTCTCTGCTGTATCGGCCCGACCTGGCTGAGGTGCTAGATGCACTTGGCACCTCTGGCCCTGCTGCCTTCTATGCAGGTGGCAACCTCACGCTGGAGATGGTAGCTGAGGTGAGTGCTTAGGTTTGGGGGAGTGTGCCCCAAGGACCTTATTGCCACAATATCCTCTTCCCCCTATCTTCCTTCCTCCCTTGCCTTTCTATATGTATTTATTATGGATTGTGCTTATTTGAAATTCTAGAGTAGACAAAACTAACCTCTAGTGATAGAAATCAGATCAGTAGTTGGTGGAGGTGGGGATGAGGCATGAAAACCCCCCTGGAGTGATAGAAGAGTTCTGTCTTGATTGAGAGGTACCACTGGGCTTTTCAGGGCTGGTGCCAACCTGTGTAGGGTCTTGCCATGTGCCTCCCAGACCTAGTGGAGACCCAGCATTAGCCGCAGCTTCCCTAAGCTCACAATCTCTCCCTGCCCTTGGGTTTTTTAGGGACTGAGGGAAACCCCTCTTGCACTGCTAACTGTCAGGACTGGGGAGACTGACACAAAAGGGTGTCATCTGGCTTGGTGCCTGTGGCTTAAATGGCTAAGGTGCCAGGCACATACACCTAAGGTGGCAGGTTCGAATCCAGCCCAGGTCTGCCAAACAACAATGATGGCTGCAACCAAAAAAAAAAAAAAAAAATAGCTAGGCATTGTGGCGGGCGCCTGTGGTCCCAGCTACTTGGGAGGTGGAGGCAGGAGGCTCGATTGAGCCCAGGAGTTGGAGGTTGCTGTGAGCTGTGAGGCCACGAGCACTCTACCCAGGGGGACAGCTTGAGGCTCTGTCTCAAAAAAAAAAAAAATATATATATATATTTAAAAACAAAAAACAAAAGGTTGTTATCCAATCCCAGAGTATCTTAGTCTGAGGCAGTAATAGGTCTGATAACTGTCCTTAATTATCCAAAACTCCTAATGGAAAACTACGTTCAAGATTCAGGCTCGGCACCTGTAGCTCAGCGGCTAGGGCGCCAGCAACATACACCAGAGCTGATGGGTTTGAACCCAGCCTGGGCCTGCCAAACACCAATGATAACTACAACCAAAAAATAGCTGGGTGTTGTGGTGGGCGCCTATAGTCCCAGCTACTTGGGAGGCTGAGGCAAGAGAATTGCTTAAGTCCAAGAGTTTGAAGTTGCTGTGAACTCTGATGCCACAGCACTCTAACGAGAGCAACATAGTGAGACTCTGTCTCAAAAAAAAAAAAAAAGATTCAGATTCACAGACCAACGAAGTGGTTCTCTCAGCTTTGTACTGGGCATGATTATATCTGTCTCCACTGTACAGTTGTGGAAATCAAATAGGTCCGTCATTCATTTAACATTCACAGAGGACCTGCTCTGTGCCTATGCTGGGCATTGGAGGTGTGAATGTGGTTATATAAGCCCATCTCAAACAGATATAACTAGAAAGAGTCCAGGAGAATACTGGCTTTAGATCCTGGTGGCTCTAGGGGCTCAACCCATATTATTGAGACTTGGTCTCTCTCTCTTTCTCTGTCTCTCTCTTGTTCTCTCTCTCTCTTTCTCTCTATCTCTTCCAGACCCCATCTCTAGCTCATCCTACCCTTACTTGGAGGCAACCTTAAATAAGGGGATTTGAGAAGGGCCCATACACATCCCTGCCTTCCCCATAACAGACTGGATTCATTCTCACTCATATCCTTCCATCTGCTACCCACTAGGCCATCCTAGGCCATCCTTCCAGCATGCTATTCCAGAGAAATTCCTCATTCCCAGGAGTTTCAGCAGGAGCCTCAAGGTTATGTCTCATTAGCCTGCCACATGACTATTCTAAGACCAATTACTGTGGCATAGAAAGGAATGCTCTGATTGGCCAGACCTAAGGCCAAGTGCCCTCTCTTGGAGGTGGAGAAGAAAATGGAGACCCTAACAAAGACCATCAGTACTTTGAAAGAAAAAAACCCAATGTTGATAAACTTGCCAGACAAAAGAACGCATGTCAGACAAGAAATGCAATGTGTAATTCACCAGCAGTAGATAAATCAAGGGTTTCAAATACTAAAAAGTACAAAAAAGTAGAAGATTCAGAGTGGTCTCAATAATTTAGGATTGAAAATAGCACACTGGATAGGATGGAATGAACCCATTGGTTTGTATAAGATTGGTTCATTAGTAAATAAAGCGTGGCCAGTTATGTCCAATACAGGTGAGGTCTACCAGGGTCATTCAGAGTTCATGGTTTTATGGTGACTTCAGTTGGTTGTGGTAAGATGCACAATTCAGTTTTAATATCTCTTAGACAAGTGCTGCTGTAAGTGGAAAATCTTGTTCTTACATAGTCAGGGCAGCATGTGCAAAGACATGAAGGCACGAGTTCAAGAACTGCAGGTCACTCTAAGGTTGTGTAGAGCTCACTGGGGAATAGCAGAACAGGGGGGAGAGGTTTGCAGAGGCCAGATCACAAGGGGTCTTGAGTGCCAAGCTAAGGAGGTCATTCATGGAACGTACCCAGCACATATATGCCTAGCATATAGTAGGTGCTCAAAATTGGTGCTTTCCCTGCTTCTTTTTTCCTGGGGTACTTCCTAATGTCCCCAGAGGCCATGATGGGAGTTGTGAAATGCACACAAGTTGGTAACAGCTGTTGTGTCTATGATTGAAACATGTATCATAGGCCAACCCCACATGCTCAACGGTGGTGGGAATCATTCTTTCTGTTCCAGGCTCAGCATGCAGGTGGTGTCATAACCGAGGAAGACTTCAGCAATTACAGTGCACTTGTGGAGAAGCCTGTGTGTGGCGTGTATAGAGGTGACCTCTCCCCCAGCTCCCAGGGTACCCACTCAGGAGAAGCCTCTCAGTCTATAGCCACATCCATTTGGCCTAGAGACTGCCCTCTATCTCAGAGGAGAGAAACTGAGGCAGTGAGCTGCCTGGGCAACTGTCGAAGCAATCCAAAGCCAGCCCATTTTCTGAAGCAGCTTTGGAGTCATTTACTCTAAGTATTTAGGATATGGGGTGGGTGGATCTAGTCAAAGACTCAGACCTGGAAGTTTGGGTTCTGGCCATAGGTTTTCTTGATCGGGGCTCTGTGTTGCCTCAGCCCCATTCTCCCTACCCTGTACTTCCTAAGATGAATTTTTAAGCCCAAAGTCCATCTAAGCTTCAGGGTAGAATAAACTCTTTAGGACAGTCATAGACTGATCCCCTCACTGTGCCCAAAGGAAACTGAAGCCCAAGGATGGGATCGAACTTAACCTGCCAAACTTAAAACCAGCAGAGAACCCAAAAAGCCAAGGTTATGACATGGATAGAGTCTGTTTGTTAAACCCAAAGTGGTAGATTCTGGGTCCTTCAGAAAGTTCTTAGGTTCTCTCTCCTGTAGGAGGACCAGATCACCGCAAGCCCCAGGAAAGGCTGCCTCTGAGTTCATGTTTCCAGGCCTCAGTCTCCGGCCTGATTCCTTTGCCAGGGGTAGTGGTATAAGGTGCCATGGAAAAAGCATAGCTTTGGAGCCAGGAGGACCTGGGTTGGAATACCAGCTGCACCCTTCACCTTCCCACTCTTAGCCTTGGTTCTCTCCTTAAAATGGGCATCATAATCACCACCATGAGCTGGTCTAGGAAGTTGCCCTGATCAGGGTGGGCACTGAGTGTGTATTAGACTTTGCATTTTCCCTCCCTAGCCTGGGTTGTCTTGGCAATACCAGTACTTTGAGTGCTGTGGCCTCCCCTTGACTCCTATGACTTTGGATCAGTTGCCTTTCTGTGCTACCATTTCTACCCCTTTATAAGATGGGAATGACAACAGTACCCATCGTGAGGATTAAATGAGATGAGTTAGTTAGTTAATGTTGGTATTATATGCCAGGTATTATTACTACTTTCATGTCCAAATATCTAATCACAGAGTAGGAAGTATGGGGTTGGGTGGGAACCTCAGGGGACGTAGACGGTGTCCTAGCCTGTGGGAGGAGCTGAAAGGAGACATGGCAAACCAGGAATCTGAACATTTGGTCACCTATTCCTGCTCTGCCTGCAATGGGACTCTGGGCAAGTCATGGCCCTTTTAAGACTTGGTTTTCTCACACAGCAGAGGAAATTGGTGACCAGTGTTCTGAGTTTGAGTCCTGACTCTGCCCTTGACTTGCTCTGTGAACTCGAGTGGGTTCCTTTGCCTCTCAGTGCTTCAGTTTCCCCATCTAATGAAGGGGCTCAGTGCAGGGGGCTCAGTGTCTGTAATGTTGGGATATGGAGATGGGATATAGGATATAAAGATGCCTTGACTTCTCCCCTGCCATTGGTCATTTCCTTTCCTTCCAGGCCATCTGGTTCTCAGTCCCCCACCCCCGCACACGGGCCCTGCCCTCATCAGTGCTCTCAACATCCTTGAGGGCTTTAATCTCACCAGCCTGGTATCCCGAGAACAGGCTCTTCACTGGGTGGCAGAGGTAAGGCCAACTTCTCCACCTCACCCTGAATTTGGGGGCACTAGGAGTAGCAAGATGGGGTACTGCCAGAGGGTAGGACTAAATCACCTCCAAGTTTTCTCACAAAGATCCACTGGATGTGGGTGTGGGAGGGGCCTGGAAGCCCCTTCCACATCCCTGCTGTGTTTTCAGACCCTGAAGATCGCATTAGCCCTGGCCAGCAGACTGGGAGATCCTGTCTATGATTCTACCATCACAGAGAGCATGGATGATATGCTCAGGTGGGTCCTGGGCAGGACACTGTGGGCTGCAGAGGTGGTGGATATGGGGAAAGGATCAGGTGAAAAGCACCTGGTGTTGAAATAGGCCTGAAGTCCCAAGTCGATTTTAGCACAGATACAACTCACAGTGTAACACTGGGTGTATCTCCCTACACTTTACCTTTCCTATCTGTACAATGAGTTGGCCTCCTTAATGTGCTCTTCCTCCTCCGTGAGCCTTCCTACTCTCCCTTTTGAGTGGAAAAAGAAAGCCTAGGCTCAGTGCCTGTGGCTCAAGTGGCTAAGGCACCAGCCACATACACCTGAGCTGGCAGGTTCGAATCCAGCCCGGGCCTGCCAAACGACAATGATGGCTGCAACCAAAAACTAGCCGGGCATTGTGGTGGGTGCCTGTAGTCCCAGCTACGTGGGAGGCGGACGCAGGAGAATCGCCTGAGCCCAGGAGTTGGAGGTTGCTGTGAGCCTTGATGCCATGGCACTCTATCCAGGGTGACGGCTTGAGGCTGTGTCTCAAAAAAAAGAAAGAAAGCTGATAACAATAAAAATAGTCTCTCAACAAATACTGGAGGTGATGGGAATTTTGAGTATAATATATCTTCACTGGCAACATTAACAAAGCTGTAAGATTGTGGGCTCTGATGATACTGTCTCCACTTAAATAACTGCAGCCGTAGGCAAGTAATTTAAACTCTCTTTAAGTCTCACTTGCTACAAGGGGACCTGACAATAATGGTATCAGCTTCACAAGGCTATAGTGAGGACTAAAGATCATACGTGTAAATCACTTACCACATTGTCTGGGTACATAACACATGTTCAACAAATGTCAGTTATTATTATCAGTAATTGTCAATAGGGGTAAGAATGGTTAATATTAACTGTTACTATACCTGACTTACAGGCTAGCTAAAGGAAAATCAGAAGCAAAAAAACTCAGTTATTGTAAATTTGTATTGTTACTCAAACAACCCTCAATGAATTCAGTTGGAAATGATGAGACTAAATAAATAGTTTATATAAAAAGCAAAAAGGCAGCAACCCAAAACAACCACCACCTCAAAGCCACAAAGATGAAGTATAAAACCTAAAAACTCTTCCTTTGTCCAGACCACCTGAAATAAAGCCCTCTGTGCCTATTCTGTATGGCCACCAGCCTTTTTGGTTCAAAACAGAATAAATGTCTTCAGTAAACCTTGGTAACTTATCATTCTGTTAATATTGTGGATAATCCAGCTTACCATTAGTAGGTCAGAAACCACCCTCAGTTTAAAAAGTCCATAGAATTACATGTTATTTCTAAGATCAGTGCGAACTTAGCTCTAAGACACACACACCTTATATGAAATCTATTCATCTAATTCACCCAATACATAGTTATCGAGGGCTTATTATGTACCAGGTCTTCCTTGCCTTTTAAAAAAATTCTAACAGAAAGTAAAGATTCCTGTATACAAAAATCCTCCACCAACTAAACTCTTAATAAAACATTAGTTCTAAGGGCCAAGTGCAGTGGCTCACACCTGTATCCTAGCACTCTGGGAAGCTGAGGTGGGCAGATTGCTTGAGCTCAGGAGTTCGAGACCAGCTTGAGCAAGAGCAATACCCTGTCTCTAAAAATAGATGGGCCAGACATTGTGGCAAGCACCTGTAGTCCCAGCCACTTGGGAGGCTGAGGCCAGAGAATTGCTTGCCTAAGAGTTTGAGGTTGCTGTGAGCTATGATGCCATAGCACTCACCCTCAGGGTGACTGAGTGAGATTCTATCTCCAAAAAATAAAATAAAACATTAGTTCTAGACCAGCGGTTCTCGACCTGTGGGTCGTGACCCACAGGAATTGTATTAAAGGGTCCCAGCATTAGGAAGGTTGAGAACCACTGTTCTAGACTATAAACATTAGGGTTTTTAAAATTTTATTTTTTTTTTGTTTTGAGACAGAACCTCAAGCTGTCACCCTGGGTAGAGTGCTGTGATATCACAGCTCACAGCAACCTCCAACTCCTGGGCTCAAGCGATTCTCCTGCCTCCACTTCCCAAGTAGCTGGGATTATAGGTGCCCAGCTATTTTTTGGTTGCAGCCATCATTGTTGTTTGGCAGGCCTGGGCTGGATTTGAACCCACCAGCTCAGGCATTTGTGGCTAGTGCCTTAGCCGCTTGAGCCACAGGCTCTGAGCTTAAACATTAGTTTAAATGAATCCAGTTTGTTGATTCAAAATAAACATTTCCGGCTTGGTCCCTGTAGCTCAAGCAGCTAGGGTGCCAGCCAGATACACCGGAGCTGGTGGGTTCAAATCTAGCCCAGGCCCACCAAACAATGACAACTACAGTTTAAAAATAGCTAGGCGTTGTGGCGGACGCCTATAGTCTCAGCGACTTGGGGGACTGAGGCAAGAGAATTGCTTAAGCCCAAGAGTTTGAGGTTGCTGTGAGCTGTGATGCTACAGCACTCTACTGAGGGCAACATAGTAAGACTGTCTCAAAAAAATAAAATAAAATAAACATTTCAGAGCATCCACTATGTACCAGGCACCTTCATAGAAAGAATTTAGTGAGTAAAGTCAAGTAATTAAAAGGCTCTTGATTTAAACATTAAATAAATTAAAAGTTGGTTCTAGAAGAGAATCTGAATAACACCTAAATAAATTAATTCAGTTCACCAGCTATTTTCTGGGTATTTTCTACATGTAGGCAGTCAGAGAGCTTCTGCCCTCATAGATCTAATATCAATGTGAGGGAAGTAGATTTAATCAAGTAATCACACAAACAAACATCACAAAGTGTGGTAGGCAGGGTGTTATGAGAGCCTGTTGTGTGCTCATTCTTTGCCCCTTGTCTTTTCAGCAAAGTGGAGGCCGCCTACCTCCGAGGCCACATCAATGACTCCCAGGCAGCCCCTGCCCCACTCCTGCCTGTCTATGAGCTAGATGGAGCACCCACAGCTGCCCAGGTGCTGATCATGGGCCCTGATGACTTCATTGTGGCCATGGTTAGGTATGCCTGGAACAAGGGATCCTCTGAACCAGCAGGGAGGTGGGGACTGTGTGAAGGTGAAGACAGGCACAGGGCTCACCTGACCACATCTTTGTCCCTAGCTCCCTGAACCAGCCCTTTGGCAGTGGCCTCATCACCCCCTCGGGAATCCTGCTCAACAGCCAGATGCTGGACTTCTCCTGGCCCAACAGGACTGCTAACCACTCTGCACCTAGCCTGGTAAAGTCTTACTTTCCTCCCCTGCTGGGGACCCTGAGGCTAGGAGGTGTGGTGGTATGGCTGTGCCTTTTGCTCTATTTTTCTCTAGGGTCTTTTTTTTTTTTTTTTTTTTGTGAAATGGAGTCTCACTCTGTCACCCTGGGTAGAATGCCATGGCATCATAGCTCACAGCAACCTCAGACTCCTGGGCTCAAGTGATTCTCTGCCTCAGCCTCCTGAATAGCTGGGTCTACAGGTACTTGCCACAACACCCAGCTACTTTTAGAGGTGGGGGTCTTACTCTAGCTCAGGCTGGTCTTAAACTTGTGAGCTCAGGGAGTCCACCCTGCCTAGGCCTCCCAGAGTGTTGGAATTATAGGTGTGAGCCACTGCACCCGGCCTTTTAGGGTCTTTTATTATAAAGAAAAGAAGCCTAAACAAGATGTTCACTTCATCTGCAGCCCTGCTAAGTCTGGGTCGTGGAACCTAGTAAGTCCAAAGAACCCTCATCCCATCTGTCACTGTCTGACTTTGTGACCTGGAGAAAGTCTTACCTCTCTTTGGGCATTTTCTTCACCTACGCAATGCGGGTATTGCCCCCATTTGATGTTTAGGCCACTCTCTAGTGCTAGTGGTCTGTTACTGCATGATGCTGAGCTGATGGGGCTCAGCCCTATGGCCAGACATCAAAGAGGGACACAGGAGGGGGGAATGTAGGAATTTTTTTGTAGATGGAGATCAGCACTCATATACCCCGCAAGCTGGGGCCCTGGCTGGGCAGAGACACACAGAGCTATTCAGGGTGGGGATTAGTCTTTCTTCCTCACTGCCATCTTTCTTGGCTTAGTCCTTTCCCCTGCTGCCCATAGCAGCCTAATAGCTCCACATACCACTTCCCTTATCCTCCTCAGCCATCCAGGAATCCTGCGTATTTTACAGATAACATGCTATTGTCCAGGAAGGGACCAGTCTCCCAGGAAAACTGGGCCTATGGAAGATGTAAAGGAGGGAGAGAGGTTGGAAGGGTGGTAGAGTGACCCTTTCCATATCTTGCCCCAGCCCATATCCCCCTTGTCTCTGTACTTTAACAACAGGAAAACTCAGTGCAGCCGGGGAAACGGCCACTCTCTTTCCTGCTGCCCACTGTGGTCCGACCAGCAGAGGGGCTCTGTGGGACCTACCTTGCCCTGGGAGCCAATGGAGCTGCTCGGGGCCTCAGTGGACTGACCCAGGTAAGGTTTCTTCCATGGCAGCTCTTTTGCAGCCAAGAGCCAAGCTGTGGTCTGGGCTGAAGAGGCTCTATATATCTGTGGCTTGTTTTTATCTCTTACGCAGCAAGCATGAGCTGAGGCTGCTTTGTGCCAGCCCTATCTTAGGCAAAGGGAATGTGGGCTGCAACTGGGTTTCTTAGTGAAAATGGAGCTTTGATGCTCCCTGTCTTCCTAGGTTGCCGGATCTAGAATTAAAAAGAGATATAGCAATTGGGCTGCCTGGGTTCTTTCAACCTCAAGTCCCATCATCCCTCACCACGCATCTGAATAGACAATCAGTTCTCTTTAGGGTCTGATTTTGAAAGGAAGGGCATATTACTCTCCAGAACAACTCAAAACAGTTCTAAGACTGTCTTGAGACCCTGATATATGTGCCAGGCACATATTTGGCCAGATAGTGAATTAACTATCCTGAGCTTTGGCATCTGACACCCCTAGGTTCCAGCCCAAGTGCTATTAGTTCCAGTCATGTGATGCTAGGGATTCACTTAACCTCTCTGAACCTGTCTCCTCATTTATAAAACAGAAATAATAACAATAGCTAACATTTAAGTGCTGGGCACTGTGTTATACATATTAACCCTTTTAAGCATCCCATAACTCTGGGAGGAATCCTTATTTCTATTTTATAGATGAGGAGACTGAAGTCCAGAGAGATTAAGAAGTTTAGTCAAGGCCAGGCACAATGGCTCATGCCAGTAATCCTAGCACTCCGGGAGGCTGAGGCAGCCTGAGCTCACGGATTCAAGACTAGCCTGAGCAAGAGCAAGACCCCGCCTCTAAAAATTGCCAGGCATTGTGGCAGGTGGCAGGCGCCTGTAGTCCCAGCTACTTGGGAGGCTGAGGCAAGGGGATCACTTGAGCCCAAGAGTTTAGATTGCTGTGAGCTGTGGCACCATGCCACTTTATCAAGGGCAACAAAGTAAGACTCTGTCTCAAAACAAAAGGAAGTTCCATCAAGTTTCTTCAGCTTGTAAGAGTGGGCAGGCAGTTCATTCCGTTCCAGAGCCTACTCACACTCCTAACTGCTAAGCTAAAACTACCTGCATTCTGCCCTAGGCCACCCCTAGGTATTAACTGTGTCTTCTCCAGAGAGAAAGGAGGGGACCCCTGGGCTAGATTACAGGACTGGGTGCTAATAGTGCCTCTTTTCTGGCTTCTTCTAAACTCTGGAGTGAATCATTATCCTTCTTTGGCCCTGAGTTTTCCCCCCTCTATGAAGTAGGGACAGTCATCCCAAGCTTGCCTGTCTTCTGGGGCTGTTGAGAGGCTCAGATGACACCTTTGGTGTAAGGGTTCCAGACACTAAGGAGTTGGGACCAAGGGTGAGAGCCAGGAAGTCCTGAATCATCATCTCAAGACAACCCTGATTTTTTCTGCCCCTTGGCTACCCACAGGTTCTGCTGAATGTCTTGACCTTGAACCGTAACCTGAGTGACAGCCTGGCTCGTGGCCGCCTGCACCCGGACCTGCAGTCCAACCTTCTGCAGGTGGACAGTGAGTGCAGAACAGAGACCCCATAGGGTGGGCACAGGGGCAGGTGGAGAAAAGAGCAACCACTAAGAGTGCTCCTGCCTCCACCAGCATCCATCCCCTACCAGTAAAAGTTTGTTTTTTTTCGACAAATTCCTACTGAAGCAATTAATGGTTGCGGATTAGAACCAGTCTTGCTAGCTCAGCGCCTGTGGCTCAAGCAGCTAAGGCGCCAGCCACATACACCTGAGCTGGCGGGTTCGAATCTGCCTGGGCCCGCCAAAGAACAGTGACAACTACAACCAAAAAATAGCCAAGCATTGTGGCAGGTGCCTGTAGTCCTAGCTACTTGGGAGGCAGAGGTAGAAGAATCTTTTGAGCCCAGGAGTTGGAGGTTGCTGTGGGCTGTGATGCCACGGCACTCTGCCCAGGGTGACAGCTTCAGGCTCTGTCTCAAAAAAGAAAAAAAAAAGAACCAGTCTTGCCATTTCCTGGCTGTGTGGCCTTGGGACATCCATTTCTCAACTCTGAACCTCAGTTTTCTCATTTGTAAAATAAGATACAGTTGTTCATTCTTCAAATCTTCATTTATTCAGCACTTTACATTGAACACCCATTGAGTGTCAGGCATCAGCCTAGGTGCTAGGGAAACTGCATTTACAGGTAGACAGGAAAATAATTAATCAAGGAAATGTGAGACAGTAAAATAAGTGCTCTGCTGAACATTAAAGCAGGATGGTGAAACAGGATTGATTTAATGATCAGGGAAGTTTTCTCTTTAGTGACATTGAAACCGAGATCTGGAGAGTGAGAAACATCCCACCATATAAAGAACTTGGGCAGAGCTTTGTAGGTCAAGGGAGCAAATGCAAAGAACTCAGAGAAGGAGTGGGTTTGAGGAATAAAAAGGAAACCAAAGTGACTGAGGATGAGATGAGATCAGGCAGGCAAGCAGGGGCCAGATCTTAGACCTTATAGGTTATCATAAGGATATAGATTTTCCTATAAGAACCTCAGAGGCTTAATTTTAGATACAGCTTAATTTTTTAAGTGGGAAAGTGTGTATACTTTTGAGGAGTTTTTAGTATAACAATCGCTATACTATGCTAGTCCAAAAGAATACAGAATTGGAGTCAGGCACAGTGACTTACACCTATAATGCTAGCATGTGCTGAGAGGCCAAAGCAGGAGGACTACTTGAATTCAGGAGCAAAGTGAGAGCCCAGTCTCTACTAAAAACCAAAACACTAGCTGGGTATTATGGTGGACGCCTGTGGTACCAACTACTCAGGCTGAGGCAGGAGGATCACTTGAGCCCAGGAGTCTGAGGTTCCTGTGAGCAAGGCTGATGCCATGGCACTCTAGTCTGGGGTAATAGAGTGAAACTCTATCTCAAAAAAAAAGAAAAAAGAATACAGAATTGATTGAAGAACAGTCCTGCCTGTTCAGGACTTTTTAAAAGAAACAGACTCACAGAAGTTATAAATTAGTCAAAGATGAACTTGTAAATCACAGGACTAAGATAAGGACATATACCCAGCTAATTACCAAAGACTCAATTCTTTATTGCTACTTGGGATGCTGAGGCAGAAGGATTGCTTGAACCCAGGAGTATGAGATTGCTATGAGCTAGGTTGATGCCATGGCACTCTACCTAGAGCAACAGAGTAAGATTGTCTCCAAAATAAAAAAAGGGAAATGAGATAAATTGAGAGAGGTAGCAAGGTCCCAGATGATGTTGGGCCATAGAGGCCTTGGTAAGGACTTTGAATTCTATTCTAAGACCCAAAGGTGTTGGAAGGTTTTGAACAGGGGAACTGGCAAGATCTGACTAATGTTTAAAAGGATCTCTTTGGCTACTGTGTGAACAGGTTATAAGGAGGGCAAGACTGGAAGCCAGGAAAATAATTAGTAGACTGTGCAGTGACCTGCAAGTAGTAAAGGCCAGTTTGCCTAGGCAGATGGAGATGAAGACCCCAGAGTCCTTTCTCCAATATTAAGAATTACTGTGTATTATCACTTACTATATACAAGGCTCTGAGCTCAGTGCTTTCTGTGTATTTTCTCCTTTGATCCCTGAAATAACTTCGTGTTTTCATACAATTCCTATTAATATTTGAGGAGACTGAGGCTCAGAGAGGTAAAGCCATTTGCCCAAGCTCATACAGCTCTTTGGTGAGCAACCAGGACTAGAACTTAGGTCTGACTATAGGATTTCTCAGCCAGGGCTTTGAATGCTCTTAATATGTGTATGTTGGTGGTTGGTTTTCAGGTGAGTTCACAGATGAAGAGATTGAGTTCCTGGAAGCCAGGGGTCACCATGTAGAGAAGGTAGATGTCTTATCCTGGGTCCATGGCAGTCGGAGAACCAACAACTTCATCATCGGTGTGAAGGACCCTCGGAGCCCAGATGCAGCTGGAGCCACCATCCTATAGAACAATGGGGTGGGGCAGGGTCTCTGCTCCCTAACTTTGCATGTTCCCAGAGTCCCTCCTTCTCCCAGGTTTGGTCTCAGGGGGACCCCAGGGATGCCCCAGATTAGGGGCCAGAGGAGATGCTTAGCAAACCTAATCCCAGGATAACTGGAAAATTCTCCATGAGGAGGCCTGTAGTGGTGGTGGTGGTAAGTGTCAGTATCCAAGACCAAGCAGGTAGGACCTCGAGGAGTCAGATTATTTGTCCATCTGTCTTCTCTCCTCCATCAGCCATGCTGGCCCTGAGCTTAGGGATGTGCTTGCAAACCCTTTGTGAGGGTCTTATAACCCCAACATCTCCAGACTGGCCTGACCTGGGCCTTGTCTTCCAGCTCCCTTCTCCTGTCCCCAGCCTCATTTCTTAAATGACTAGGAATTTTTTAATGGACCATCATGGGGAGAGGATGCTCCTCTCCTCTTCTCACCAGGTTGAGGTGGGGGCCTTGCATCTGGTGGTCCCCAGGGTGTGGGGTAGGGGTGGGGGTGGGGACCAGCTCAGGGGCTTCCATTTGCAAAGGGGAATTAAAGGAAGAATATTGCTTAACCATGGCTTTGGCTTGATTTATGTTTAACTGGGATGGTGGGTAGAAGTGGGAGAGGAGACCTCAGCTCACTCTGTCCCAGCAGCCCTGACTCCATGGCAAGCTGCAGTCAACTTTGTGGAAGCCATAGTAATATCTGCTGTCTATCCAAAACTCGTACTACTAATAATAATTAATAACAATAACTATTCTTTTTTTTTTTTTAGACAGAATTTCACTTTGTTGCCCTCAGTAGAGTGCAGTGGTGTCACAGCTCACAGCAACCTCCGGCTCTTGGGCTTAGGCAATTGTCTTGCCTCAGCCTCCTGAGTAGCTGGGAGTTACAGGCACTTGCCGCAACACCCAGCTATTTTTCTGTTACAGTTTGCCCGGGGCCAGGTAAAAATCCACCACCCTTGGTATATGGGGCCAGCGCCCTACCCACTGAGCCACAGGTGCCGTCCAACAATAACTATTCTAGATAACATCTAGTCTTCATTACAAACCTCATGAAGAAGGTACTAATCTTTTTAATTTCCTTTTTTTTGAGACAAATTCTTACTCTGTCACCCTGGTAAAGTACTGTGCCATCATAGCTCACAGCAACCCCAAACTCTTGGGCTCAAGCAATCCTCTTGCCTCAGCCTCTCAAGTAGTTGGGACTTTAGGCACCCAGTACAATGTAATTTTTCAATTTTTTAGTAGATATGGGGTGTCACTTTTGCTCAGGCGGTCTCAAACTCCTGAACTCAGGTGATCCACTCACCTTGGCCTGCCAGAATGCTAGGAATATAGGTGTGAGCCACCGCACCTGGCTGAAGATACTAATCTTATTCCCATTTCAGTGATGAAAAACAGACAAAAAGAGGCTAAAGAACTTGTCTAAGGTTCTTCATTTCTTAAATAGAAGGATGAGAGTTCATTCTCAGGATGTCCAACTCCAGCATCTGTGCTTTTAACTAATTTCACATCTGCTACTTGAACTATTTGTTACAAACTATCCTGCATATACAGTAGAACCTCTGTAAGTTGACTACCTGGAGGACTCTAACAAACTGGTCAACAGACAGAGGTGGTTAACATAAAGAACTAGGCCTTAGTACATGTAGTGGATGTCCAGTCTATAAAAATTAGGTCAACTTAAGGAGGTGGTAAATGTAGGGAGGTGGTTAACTATGGAGGTTCTACATCTCAGATAATAAGTCCCCTTTATAGATGATGTCATTCAGGCATCCATCCATCCATCCAATATATTCCAAGCACTTTGTTAAGCCCTGAAGATTCAGCACTGAGTAAGACAGACATTTTTTATAAGTTTACAGTCTATGGGGGAAGTAAAACATTAAGGAAATAAGCACACAGATAATTAGGGCAATTGCCATCACAATAAGCCCTATGAGGGATAATATGTATAGCAACAAGCTAACTAGTTTGGGAATCAGCAAAAGCTTCCCTGCAAAGGTTGTGAGGATGAGTAAAATTGGATCAGATGTGCGATGTGGGAATGTCATTCTAGGCAAAAGGAATAGTATATTCAAAGGTATTGTGATGAAAAGGAATGTGTCATGTTTTAGGAGGTGGAAGAATCTCTATATATTCTTCCTAGAGGAGGGGTTGACAAACTTTCTGCAAAGAGCTGGATGAGTATTTCAGGCTTTGCAAGTCATATGGTCGCTGAAGTACTCAGCTTTGCTTTGAGTGAAAAAGTAGCTGTACGTGATACATAAATGGCTGTGGATGTGCACCAATAAAACTTTATTTTGCAGAAATAAACCCAGTTTGGCATAAGGTCAGTAGTGTGCTAACCCTCATACTAGAGCATACTGAGGAGATGATGGCATGAGATGAAACTGGTGAAGTAGGTGGATCATCTTTGTTGCCCTCAGTAGAGGGCTGTGGCGTCACAGCTCACAGCAACCTCAAACTCTTGGGCTCAAGTGATTCTCTTGCCTCAGCCTCCCAAGTAGCTGGAACTATAGGCACCTAC